CCATGTCAATTGCCAAGTCTTCCCCAAAGTCAACATTTAACTTGCGAAGACGATCGACATACCTTTGCATCTTTTGCAGGTGCACGGTTAGAGATTCTCCATGACCCATTTTGGCGGAAATCATGTTAGTGAAAATCTCGTAACGCTCTTGTCTCGCATTTTGATGGTATCTCTCCAACAAGTCTTGGTGCATTTCGTATGGATACATGTCCTCGTAGGACTTTTGGAATTCGGAGTTCATAGTGACTATCATGATGCAATGAACCTGCGTTGCATCACGCTCATGAGTTTCAAAGGCGATGATTTCAGCTAGAGTAGCGATTTCAGGATTGATCTTCTCGAGCTTTTCATCGAGGACATACTCCTTGTCCTCGTAACGAGCAATTGTGCGAATGTATCTTATCCATTCGCTAAAGTTCATCCCATCGAAAGTCACCTTTTGACAAATGCTAATCAATGTGAATGAACTAGCAACGTTGTTCGCGTTCGACATCTACAATTAGAAAGAACAAAGATAGATTAGAATATGAATCCCGAATTATCACCCAATAAGAAAAATTAGGGCTAGGATCCAACAACAATATTTACACATTAGAAAGGGATGCCGTAATCTAATATGCAAACAATTTGAAGGTAAGTGAATGACGATTCACTAATTCTCCACCATGAAAAACATAACTCTAAGTTCTAAATGTATTGAGAATTCCTAAGTTTGGATGAGATTCATTGAAATTTTCAATGGCATGTTTAAATCTCGATATGCCCCCCTCGTTTGTGACAGGGATACCGAGGATCACAAAGTGGGTGTGAATTACCATGCAAATTCACATGGTGCCTTCATTGTAACAATCACCTATTCGATGTGCCGGTAAACCACACACGCTCCATCGAACTATGATAAACAATGAATCACCCTTTGCCACCCTCTCTTAGAACCAATTAGTGTGCCGGTAAATCACACACGCTCCACTAACTTCTTAGCAAGGTGCAAAGTGTAATTTCATGGGATTGCATCAATTCACTTTTCCTAAAGTAACTAGGATTGGGAAAATTTTGAAAAACATGTAGTTACTTTGTATTTCATATTATACTTTTAATGAGAGGATGAGGTTGCCCTATCCTACCCGTTCGGCTAACGACCCTCCACCGATCATGCAAGCGGTGGGTGTGAGTGTACACCCGTTAAGCGCCATTTTATAGGCACCAACCTTATACTCACCTCATAGACCGGCTTCGTGAATGAGGCCTACTAACGGTAAGACCAGCATATTAATTATACATATATATATATATATATATATATATATATATATATATATATATATATATATATAAACTTCTAATAATATAATAGTATAGGGTGTATTTTAAACATTTCAAAAATACTAGGTTTTTAATCTCCAATTTAAAATTTTCGAAATTTAATACATTTAAATTAAAATTATAAATATTAAAACTCTTGATTTAACAATTATCACAAATTAAAATATTAATTTAAATTATTAAATCATAAGGGATTATCTAAATCATGAGAATAATTACCATTTAAACAATTAACTTATCCTAATCCCTTTTATCCCTCTAAATGTCGAAAATAATGGGATGGGATAATTCAAAATCTTTAATTACCATATTTAACCATTAAAGATAATTACAAGATATGAGATTATCCAAATCCCTATAATTTAGAATCTTATCTTGGGGAAGGAGGCAAATCTCGAAATCTAAGGGTTTGCAAACCCTAGATTTCGAAATCTTGGATTAAAAGGAAAGGATTCAAAAACCCTTTCAAGATTTTCGCAAATTAGGGTTAGGAAACCCTAATCTTGAAATCTATGGCATCCTAGGGTTTATTTACTATAAACCCTAATTTGTCAAGTTCATACAATTGCATAATACTAATTGAAAACAAGTTAACCAAAGTCTCTGATACCACTGATGGGTTTTATACAAACAATCCTATGTGTGCATGCAACCTTAATTTGGATCTATGTTTTGCTATTAGATACACAACATTATGAACACAAGAATAAAACCCTAAAGAAAAATGCTATTTTAAAAATTAATATACAAGGTTAGATCACATACCTCTTGTTGTTATATTGCAATAACAACTTAAATCTTCAAACCCTAAGTCTTGAAAGCAAGCACCACAAGTGTAGTGCCTCTAATGGCTCACAAATACCACAAGCAATTGGAGAGGCTATAGAGAGAGAAGGGAGGAGGTGGAAATCGTCCTTGGGACTTCTTAGAAGCATGTCCACGAATTCCTAAGGCCTAGGGGTCTTTATATAGGGTTTAGATTAGGGTTTCAGTCCTTATCCTTATCCAGTTACTTGCCCACCAAGCAACCACAAGATAACCCTTGAAAACCCTTATCTCTTGGACCTTGGACGATTTTAAGGATATCCTTATCCTTGAATTCATCCATCCTTAAACAAGGATAACCATTGCCCTATTTTGCAACTATCACATAATTACAATTCAGCCCCTCTAGTTTAATTAATTACACTTGATCACAAAATTAATTCCTAATTAATTATTGACCAATATTAATTAAACAAATATGATTTATCCTTTAATATATTATTCTTATAACATATTAATAAATAACAATAACCTCTTTCTCTATTTATTTCTCCAGTCAAGTTGCTTTGGTGAAGGCAACCCAAAAGGACCATGCACAACCGGTTCAAGTACTTGCCTAATATAGTTGTAGCCTTAGACACTATTCCAACAATAATCCCTACAAATCTATAAATAAAACAATTTAAATGGTTATGATAAATTCTTAGTTCAAACCCATGACTAATAGCTTCGAAATGATTCAAGAGTGCAAATAAAGAATCAGTTTTATTCTTTAACAGGTAATCATATTTGTTGTTGGTTGTATCTTAAAATCTGTATTCATATGTAGAAAAGAAAAGTGTCAAAAAGTCAACAAATATATAATACCTATGTTTAACACATCATAAATGGTGATGATACAAAAGCTAGAAACATGTTGATTGTACATCATCAAAATGGACTTTCTATAACTTTTTACTTCAGAAATGGCAACATACTTTCACGAGTGATAAATAAAGATAAACAAATAAAAAATTGAGAAGTAGCATACTTTTTATAATTTCGAGCATCCTTGTCTAGACAAGCAAGGGTACCAGCAAAAAAAAATGATATGTAAGTTTTAGCCAAAGATACAATCAATAAAACTGTCAAACATTATGTATAATGTTTAATTATATACCCATGCGTGACCAAAAATCATGTACAAAATTTCTACTCCCTTGTTTCACAATCATAGTCTTTTTAGAACTGATCTGATGTTCGCAAGTTTCTCAATCTGAGATCATGAATATCAGTAACATTTTCCCTAAATTTGAAAAGTAGTCTCCGGCAATTCAAGTAACTTTGATTATGTCTATTTCAAGAGATTTAGTTAAATTCATAAAGAAAAAAGTCTCACATTCTTTGTATGTTGACGAAGCCGTTCGTTCTCATATACGAGGTGAGACACTTGCTTCTACAACCTGTCGTTTTCCTCCATTAAAGGCTTGTTTACAACTTCTAGCTACTGATTCACAGACTAGAGATGGGAAGCCTTTTTCCATGTTTCACTCTGCATCTGTAAAGATCATTAACAACCACAAAGATCAAAGTTAAACCCAGACCACCATTTGAAAATAGATTCTGAAGAACAAAATTGAAGGTTGTTTGCAAGAAGTATAATACCCTCTGCTTCATGAGCTATCATCTGAGCTTTGTCGCCTTGAACAAATGCCCATCAGCCATGAGATGAACTTACAGTTTATGATATATAAAAAAAACATGATCCTGGTGGGATAGAGTTTCGGCACCAAAAAATCAAAACATATCCTGAAAAAAGCGTTTCACAACAAAGAAAAGTCAACAAAGATAACAATAGAGACCCTATAACTATAATATGAGGGGAGAAAGATAGTACCTTAAATTTTTAATGTGGTAGAAGAAAAAATCGAAATGAATCATCTGATTGCACATTTTTTCAAACAATCACCTAAAAATCAAAAATAAATTGTCACACTGCAAACACTAGATTATCATCGCATACAAAAAGCGACCATGCCACCTGAATCAGATTTACCTCTTATAGTTCATAATGAAATCAAAGAAATAAAAGGTTACCTGTTGTGACAAAATGGCGGATTGTAGAGGAGTACGATGAAGAATTTCTAGTGGTGCAAGTTCTTTGTAGATGGAATTGTAATCCAATATACTATGTGATTACACATATCTATTCAAAATCCTTAATACAGTTTTTGTATACCAGCATGCCATGTAAATTTGAATAAGATTTCGATCGTTATTTTTGGATATCAAGTTGGAATTCCTAATTTCATGGGATTCAGTTTAATTGATAGAACAAATAGGCCGAATTTCATGTGGGATTTCGCAAGATTACATTTATTAGTTATGCAGATCTTGCTGATTAAAAGGAAATATCGCTTAGTTTGCAGTTGGGATCTCGGGTTGAAGTTGGAAAGTATTATTCCGTATCATTTCCAGGTTATCCTTATAAATCGTGTTAGGAGGAAGGGGTATATTAGGCATTTCACTTAGAAAAAAATGAGCAGGTTGGGAGGAGCTTAGAAGAAGCATGTGGCCACAAAGGTCCTGTATTATTATAATAGGGATATTTCCAACCTAGATCAAAATCAGATTCGTAAAACCGGCCGAATCCGATGCTATTAATCTGCATTTTTAGAATCACAAAGGCCAAGACAATCGACAAACATTTTCATAAAAATTTCACGAAACTATTTAATGGCACGCAAATTGAGAATCGGAGATTTTGTCACAAAATAAATAAATAAAAATACAAAGCATTTGAGTTTACAATATATATCTTTATGATTCTGATTTTGTACCACCTAAAATCAATTACAAACTACTAAATTTTGGGAAAAATCAAGTTTTATATCATTTTCAATAATTTGGTACACCATGAGTATACTTCTCCCTCACCCTTGAGTCATCCTTCCCGTTCCTCTTGATCGTCGGCCACAGAAGGAAAAAGACCGGTGACTGTCGCCGGCCAAGACAATCCCATCCTTTACCTTTTCCTGTTGGATCTCATCAGCCAAAAACACCCCTTTCCCTATTCTGTTTTCCTGTTTCCCTTGTTAAACAGCAACAGCCCTACTGAATCCTATGAAAAATCAAACCCAAACATCCATCTTGTTCCTCCTTTGAATTCTGTTAACCATCAAACAAACACCCACCTAAAACCACTGATTAAATCTATTGATTTCTGTCAAAATAAAACAAAAAGCCATACCTGTTGATCCCGTTCATTTCCTGTTGAAGAATCATCACCTAAATGCCCTGCTCCTTCTTTGTGTTCTACTGCTGAAGACGAGAATGGAAATCACGAGGACTCCCTGGAGATCAGTTGTACCTCCACACCACTACTCACCGATCTAACCTGCCACTGCCTTCAATCGACCTCCTTCCTCAACTGCTGATCGCCCCATCGCTGCCCCACTGAGACCGCAGCATCTTCGCTGCTTCTCCGGCTCTTTGGCCTTGTCAAACCCCAGACAATTGCACACATCGCCAATCGATTCGTCTCCTTCGCACCTAGCAAACGACCGAGAAGAGCGCATCCGCTGCTTCTCCCTTCGTTCTTCAGTCTAATCGAACCCTGGTGATGAACCTTCTCGCGGTCGAGCAACGAAGTCGTGCCTGCGAGACTTCGTGTTTTCCCTTCTCACTGTATTCGTCCACTGCTTTCGTTCCCGTTCCTTCTCCATCGTCCTTTGAACACGACGCCTCTTTGCATTGTTAGAGCCTTTTTGATCGACTGTATCGGACTTCAATCAGAAATCGGGTTTCGATTCAAGGGTAACTCAAACCTGCATTTAAATTAAATAGAATTTCCCCTCCACAAGGAAACCCTAACAAAATAAGTCTTGGTGCTTCAAATCAGATTCAAAAGCACATGTTTAACCCCTGTCATGAGAATAATTCGCAATATCAGTCACTGAAGTATGATTTTGGCAAAATCGAACCCTAGAGTCTATTGATTTTAACAAAGACCACTACATACTTACTAATTAATACTAAAACTACCCTTTGGTTTCTTAGGAAGTATAAATATATTTGGTGGTTCGTTTAAGAGAAAGAAACATCACGTAACAACTTTCACAACAAGTTTCACACCACGAGCCTCGATCACGCTACGAAAGTGGGTTTCTACGGTCCCTATTTTATTATTATAATATTTGGGAGATAATACTTGTGTGTCTACTAAAGTTTTGATGATTTTCATGTTTTATACACAAATACCATCATACTTTATTATAGGTCAAAAACTTATTAAATACCAATCTAAAATGCTATAATTCATTAATAAACCATAAGTTAAAGTATATTGCTAAAAGATAATATGTTTATGGTTTGTCGTGATTATTAATATGTAAATTATGATATGTTACTCCTAAGCAACAAAATTATAAGTATTCAAAAACCTTATAACGAGAAGTTTAGGATTAGGATGCCAAGACATATTGTTAGAATTCATCCTACCCACGGGGTATTCTAAGTGAACTACGTTCGTTTCTAAAAGCTTTATGAGTTAGGATCATTTCCTAAGCTGCATGGGCTAAGTTTGTAGCAATGCTAAGACCGTACATCTTAGCGGAAAGTCCTATGTCTCATAACCGTTAACTCGTACAGAACGAGGAAGATCGAGTATAAGTTCAGGATCACATACTTATATGGGTTGACATTTGGCCACCTGTTGCTGGCTACAACCATCGGCCGACAAGTCGAGTTTAGGCGTTGGCATTTTCTTCACTAATTTTTTTATCACGTCACCAAATATGTGGTATGGGCTTTCAACACAACTTTCCAGTATTGGTGCAGAGGCATTCGTCACGGTTCGGTTATGACCTCATTTTAGACAACGAGTGTACTGTTGTTACCATATATTATTGAAATAGGATAGTATACGGAGATTTTGTTCACTTATATTACTTGAAAGAGACTGTATGTAGTAGGATAGCTTGTAACTCAGTGCAGCAAGTGTCAATACCATAAATTAAGCTGATAACACTTAATTAATCTAATACCCGATTCCTGGTACAGATTTAAATTCATGTAATTTTGTAATTTACACCGGGACTCGGCGAGTTGGAGGCCCAACTCGTCGAGTAGACTCGACTTTTGATCGGGGGTTTAAGTGACCTACTCGACGAGTCGGAAGACCGACTCGACGAGTAGGACTGTCTAGATGAAACCCTAATATTTGGGTTTTTACCCTAGTTAAACACCTTATAACACCCCAACCCAGCCCATATCTGTAACACCGTAGATTTCAAAACAAAATTTTCAATTTTTTTATAAAACATAATTCACTTAATATTCATAAAACAACCATGTTTGAAACTCAATCCAAGTAATACAAAAATCCCAAGATCTCAAAATCATAAAATCCCATGCATGTGTACTGATCAAGCTGGCGCCTTCCCACGGTGGTCACTAATACCTGAAACAAACGAAACCAAACACTGTAAGCACAAAGCTTAGTGAGTTCCCCAAAATACCACATATAACACATATTAGCCACTCGAGGCTATAACTCTGTGGGTTCGTGCACCCAAACTCTGTGAACCCTCAGGTTCTAACTCTGTAAACATGCACATCTTAAATCACATAGAATAATGAGGTGCAACACATAACACATATATAGCATACAAACACTGTATCACATAACTCTAGTTACCTACTCAAGGTAAAGTATAGTGAGAAGACTCACCTCGCGTATCTCGGTAACTCGCAAGTCCCTGCAATCACTCGTGCTCGATCTCCCGATCTATAGTCCTCCTATAACACAATACGTCTCTAAATAACACTTTACAACTAAGGTTGACTATCCCTTAACAAGTCAACATAGGTCAACACTGGTCAATGGTCAACCGTCAACTTTGACCGAACTCGGCGAGTGCACTATAGCGACTCGGCGAGTCTATGCGCATACATTGATTTCCTGGGATCCTCACTTGACACGACGAGTACTCTCCTAGCTCGACGAGTTCCACCTAGCATGAGTTGTGGGGCCTCCACAACTCAACTCGCCGAGTCTCAAGGACAACTCGGCGAGTTCCAACTTAACTCAGGCCACCTGTCAACCCACTCTGAGTCTCCCTAACTCACTGAGTCAATCCATTAACTCGTCAAGATCACTCGCTGAGTGGTGATGGGCTATTTTCATGCTACTCGCCGAGTCTGTTCTTCATACTCGGCGAGTCCATGCCATGCATCAACTTAAACTCACTCCTGAGGTCAGATCTCTTCCATACATTCATAGATCTGGCCTCCCCAAGCATGGTAATCACGTAAAGTCCAAACCTTGGGGCTCAAACAACAACTATTTGCTCATAAATGATGTTTTAGCCCCATATCTCATAACTCTAGGCCAATACTCTCATGAACCCTCATAAAGCTTAAGGAATACAACTCTTCTGGACCTATATGGATCTCATCTCAAGCCTTATCATGAATAGGGACGAAATGGACATCAAATCTAACCAACAAAGGGGTCAGGAAACCCTAAACCCCCATGTTCATCATAAAAACCGAAAAGGAAGCCAAGATTTACCTCCAAGATGATGTTCTGAGCTCCAAAATCGCAGAATGTCCACTTCCCTTGCCTTCTCTTAGCTAGAATCTCCTTTGCCTTGCCAAACCAAGCTTCAAAGGTGAATAATGGCCTCTTTTCTCTCCCAAAACGCTCAAATCTCTTTAGGGTTTCTCTCTAGGGGTTGGTGGCCGCAAATGACGGCCATAAGCCCCTTTAAATAGGTCTCAAACCCTGGGAATTTGGGTTTCATTAAACAGCGTGGACTCGCCGAGTCCAGACGCGAACCCGCGTCGAAAATCGCGATCCTACTCGACGAGTTTGAGCTCCAACTCTCCGAGTCCACTCACAATTCTCCAAAAATACACTAATAATAAATACCTAGAAATTCCGGGATGTTACAATTCTCCCCCACTAGAACTAGACTTCACCCTCGAAGTCTCGCTCTGCAAATAACTCCGGATGCTGCTCGCGCATCTCACGCTCTGGTTCCCAAGTCATCTCGGACCCCTTTCGATGCTGCCACTGAACCAAAACCAAAGGTACCTCCTTGTTCCTCAGAAATTTGATTTTACGATCTCTGATTGCCACTTGTCTCTCAGCATAATTCAGGCTCGCATCCACCTGAATATCCTCTAATGGAACCACTGCTGACTCATCGGCTATACACTTCCGTAATTGCGACACATGGAAAGTGTCGTGAATCTGTCCCAACTCTGCTGGCAATTCCAATCGATAGGCTACCCTACCTATTTTCGTGATTACCCGAAATGGACCAATATATTGGGGCCCCAACTTGCCCCTCTTCCTGAATTGAATCACTCCTTTCCAAGGAGAGACCTTCAGAAGCACAAAGTCGCCGACCTAAAACTCAAGCTCGGACGGGCGTCTGTCCGCATAACTCTTCTGTCGATTCTGAGCGGTCAATAACCTCTGTCTGACCTGCTGGATCTGCTCTGTCGTCTGAAGTACGATCTCAGTGTTGCCCATAACGCGCTATCTGACTTCTCCCCAGCAAATGAGGGTCCGATACCTCCTTCCATACAACAGCTCAAAGGGTGGCATACCGACGCTCGAATGATGGCTGTTGTTGTAAGAAAACTCGGCCAAGGGCAAACACGTATCCCAACTTCCCTCGAAATCCAATACACATGCTCGGAGCATGTCCTCAAGCATCTGAATCGTCCGCTCACTCTGTCCATCTGTCTGAGGGTGATATGCGGTACTAAAATGCAGCCTAGTACCCAGCTCCTCATGGAACTTCTTCCAGAATCTGGAAGTGAAACGCACATCCCGGTCTGAGACAATCGAGATCGGCACCCCATGCCAAGATACCACTTCCCTCACGTACATCTCTGCTAACTTTTCTGCAGAAGAACTCTCGCTGATAGCAAGGAAGTGAGCGCTCTTCGTCAACCTGTCCACAATCACCCAAATTGCATCTACTCCCCTAGCACTCCTTGGCAATTTGGTGATGAAATCCATGGTGATCTGTTCCCACTTCCATTCAGGAACCTCCAACGTCTGCAACTTACCATGCGGTCTCTAGCGTTCGACCTTAACCCTACGGTAAGTTAAGCACCTCTCAACAAACCACGCAACATCCCTCTTCATACAGGGCCACCAATACTCCTTCCTCAAATCCAAATACATCTTAGTGGCCCCAGGATGGATCGAGAATTTCGACCGATGAGCCTCTTCCGTCAAAATGGTACGCGTTCCTCCTACAAACGGTACCCAAATACGCCCCTGAAAAGTAATAAGCCCTCGAACATCGGTAACGAACTCCGATACCAACCCAACAACTCGCTCTCTTTTCTAGTTCTCCAACCTCACTTCCTCAGCCTGTGCTCCTCGAATGGTGTCCAACACTGGAGTCATGACGGTCAATCGCAAACATACATCTCGCAACGGGGCACTCTCCGCCCTGCGACTCAGGGCGTCGGCTACCACATTAGCCTTGCCCGGATGGTACAGGATCTCAATATCATAATCCTTAACCACATCCAACCACCTCCTCTGCCG